TTCCCAATTAATTTCAGTAATTTTCTTGGAATCCAAACACAGAGAACTTGTGAAGAACAGAGAGGTCATTTGTTTATTCTTTGTTGTTCTCAAAATTAGTAACATACAAAACAGAAGACCCATTGGGATCTAGGATTTTGAGAGGAGTAGATCAATAGACTGGGTATGGTCTTAACCTTTGGCATGTTTTCTTACACAAAGTGGTCACTCTYAGACTTGAATCCCACATTCTCARGCTTGTTACTTGGAGATTTTATCAAGTAATTGCCCCTTCATTCACAAATTCTCCAATCCAAATTTCATTGCACCTCCACTCCACCTCAAAGTAACCTTGATTATATTACCAAATGAATGCATTTTACTCCCAAACCTTCATAAATGGTGATATGGCAAGTAAGATGCAATTGGRTGGGCTCAATTTGAAAAGTTGTCAAAAATTGAATGGGCATGGCCTAAAAGTCCAGGCCCACACAGTATAATTTCTTCTACTCAYGGACCTGATCTATTTGCTGAACTTATGTTTGGTGTGGACCGTTACCAGTCCCACAGTCCGAAACACAGCTATGAAGTTTAGTTAATCCACTGTAGACTTACTTAGATCCAGGCTGGATCGTGGATCTGATAATGGCAGATCCAATCTAATTAGTTTATTAGACCAAGATAAGACCAACGTTGATAATAGCTCGATTTTMTTTCAGCCAAGCCAGAACTTGATATTGGGGCTTATGAGCTGGGCCTTCACCTAAGGCTATGTTTGGTGTAACGGCAAATAAAAAATATAGCGTCAACTTTCTGTCTCCCTTTTATTTTCTATCAAATCAGTCATAGCCTAAGAATTGGATTCATTTAGCCAATTTAGGTGTTGATATTTTAATATAAAATTGGTGCCTGAATATGTTCAATAACTTCAAAAGTGATGCCGCCAAGTGCCGAGCCTAGATCAACTATTGATGAATTGAGATTGAACTGGGGCCGAGCGCTATTAGAAAGTAGATTATTAGTGATCAGTAAGRATGTATATACAGAGTGTAACTTGGACAGGTTTGTGTTGAGATTTTGTTAAAAGTTGATTGGGTCAAGTTTGGAAGCCCAGGCCAAATGTATTGTAAATTCTTTAAATTGGGTGCCTGATTTGCACAACTAAGGTTCAGTTTGGGAAGAATATAAATAAAAATATGTAATTATATACAGTGTAAATACAAAATGCAAGGCTTTTCACTCCATATTTATATTTGCACTATTTCCCAAATTAATCATTTGACATAATCAAATAATAATTTTAAATTAAAATACCCACACTTTTATCTCTCACTAAAGTTAAACTTGGTCTCACTTGTCTAAATGGGCCCAACTCTT